CCACCGCAAACTTGCCCGCTTCTGGATAGGGCTGCTTATCGGGCGGTTATTTACTCTTAATGGTTTGGCTTATCGGTTATCGTCTTTTAAATGTATTAATTCTCTAGCCACCCGATAAGATATCGGGCGGATTGGAATCGGTTTAGCTCTTATCGGGCAGTTATCGGCCTAATTCAATCTATATTGCACACGACGCAATTTACCAAATTCAGCTATTATCTTTCTGCATCAGCGCATTCTTTCCTTTCTTTGCAATTACTTGAACTCGCTCCAAGTCATACACCACTTTTGACTGTCTTAAGGAGTTCCATTTTTTCTCAGGCACATCTGTAGTGTGGATGTCGTTGCAGTGGAATGCACACCAGCAGATTAAAACTAAGAGTCCATAAAAGTGAATCAATAGCAGTGGTTTGCAGCAGATTTTTAGGACGTTATCCCTTTTGACCTATGCCTTTGCTGCTGCGATTTAAGTCTCAGAGTTTCAGTTGGGTGAGCTGTGGAAGAATCTCTCATTGAACTTCTTAGCCGCAATTTTCTCAATGTAATGTCTCAATGCTTTCCTTCTGATTGGCTTTTGTAGCAATGCAAAGGATTTCGTGTGTCTCAGACTTGGTCTACGGATTTTTTCAAATATTTTCCAAAACATGTAATGCCATAAAAAAAATTCTACTACTATTATTACATGGTCAATCCTTAATGGGTTAACGGATTATCCATTAAGAAAATTGAATAATCTGTCCCCGAACCGATAAGCCGTTAATAAAAAATTTCAATCTGTTCCCCGTCAGGGACGACCGTTAACTCGATACCAATAATCCATTAATCTTCGATTTCGGTTCGGTTTTCGGTTTCGGTTCGGTTTTGAACACCCCTACTTCTGGGTTCACTGGTGGCCTCAATTTGATTAGACATTTTATCACTTCTGGTGGGCAATTGAGAATCATTTTTTTTGCGTATTGTTCCTTGAGGACGGAGATATGGCATGCACCTAACCAGATTGGTTCCATTTGAGTCTCCCTCATTTCTTCCATGATTGTTGCTAGTTCTTGAGGGTTTAGCATTTCTGGTTCTTCTGGAGTTAGTGGTTGAGGACTCATTGAGGTGGAGTGTGTTAGTGACTCGAAAGGACTCATTGGGGACAGTGGTAGGGAGTTGGGTATGTGGAGGTACTCGTGTAACCAAGGGATTTGTGACTGAGTTTGTGGGTAAAATGGAAGATTCGGAAAGGGGTTGTAGTGTTGTTGGTATTGAGGAAAAAGGCTCCACCATGAGTTGATAGCTTGCATTGGTAGGGTTGTCCAGTTGTACTGGCCGTGAAAGTTCATTGCCACTGTTATGCCCTCCGTGACTATCTGGGCTAAGTCTTGGAGATTTTGGAGACAGACTATGATCTTTTGATTGTTGACAATCATGGCAAAAGTCAGTGCATGATTCTGGAGTCCCATCTCCAACCATGACTGAGGAGGTTAGTAGGGGTTCAGAGCTTGTGATGTGTAGATTATTGAGTAAGTGGGTGGAGGTGGTGTGTTGTGTGGCATGTTTTCTCGATTGAGGAAGTGTATATTCAGTGGCCTGAAGTGCATTAGAGAGGGACGATGATTTTGGGTTCTCAGTGGAAAGTGTGGAGTGGGACGTCGCTGCATGGTTATATGTGTTGTGAGGGAGATTGTGAATATCAGAATTTTGTGAGGGAAGTAGAGTTGACAATGATTGAGAGGTATTAGTAGTAGTGGTAGGGTTGGTTATTTGAAGCGGTGATACTGGATTGGCTTGGGAGATTTCGTACAATGGGCTGTTCACGTGGGCTGGGGTATGTAATATTTGTGTGCATGGATAGTTGATTGGCGTGGTGAGGTGGTGAAGTGGGCTGGGACATAGTTGAGGAGGGGTCATGCTGGTTGAGTGTATTGTCAAGTGGGCTTAGGGTAGACGGTTGTGTTTGCATGGGAGGTTATTGGGTGTTTGGGGCGGTGGAGGTGACGTGGCAGTGGGACAAGGTTGATTGGTGGCACTAGGTTTATTGTTTACCCTAGGAATGAGTGAATTAGGGTAATTATATTATTTTTTGGATAGAGTTAGGCCTTGTGGCGGGATGGGTATGTGGGTCGACCCGTTTTGTGTATGCAGATGTTGTAGTTGGGCCTCTATTTCTTTTATTGGGCTGGTATTATTGTCTACTAGGTTAGGTTATAATTGAGTGTTTATCGTGACATTAGTGCTAATTAACTGATCAAAGCTATTTTTTTAATGTTAGTATAGTGTTATCAGGTCTGTTATTAGGTGTAACAGTAATTAAAGCAGTAGAAGGGTTTGCGAGGTGCGTACCTGTGCCCTGGCCCTTGGCCCAATGCTTTGAGGTTGAAGCTTGAGTTGCAGTGTTGTGTGTTGCTTGTGTTGCTTCATGTAGACGTAATTTAGAGTTAGATGTCTTTTTTGGAAAAGTGACCGTCTTCCATTCCGTAGTTCGTAGAGGTAGATCTTTGGTATCATCCATAGAAGGATTGGTAGTTGACTGTGTTGGCACTGGTGGCGTGGTGTTAGGGCAGTGTAGTGTAGCATGGCCAAGTCTCCCACAACAAACACATATCATATTGAGACCTTCATACAGAATTTGTTGACGATGATGCCCTATAAAGACATGTGACTTGAGTGGTTGTTCGAGGGGAAACTCGATACATATTCTACCATATCGTCCCCTTAATGCTGATGAGGTGCATGTATCAATTTTTAATAGCTTGCCCAGTTTATTTCCTACTTGGTGTAAGATATCAGTATCATAGAATTCAGTGGACAGTTCTGGTAGCCTAGACCAAATGGCCGTATATGTAAGTTTGGAGTTAGATGCTAAAAACTTAGGTTCCCATCTTCTAACTGATAGGAAATAGCCTAACACAAACCATGGCCCCTCGTGGAGAGCTTTTATCATATTTTCTTCTCGTTGGTACTTAATGAGGAAGAAGTCATTGCCTAAATCAATGAGGGCCAGTGACTCCGTTGGTTTCTATAATTGCTGTAATTTTTGCTTAAGGGTTAGGTGCCCCACTTTTCTTCCAAAGACCTTAATTATGATGGAATATTTCCAAGGGGAGTAAAGTCTTGTTTTGTCTTCTGTGGAGAGAGGTATGAAATTATCTGTTGTATGTGTTGCTAAGCTTTTTTCAAACATGTCATTATGGTATTGGGTAGCATTGATTGTTGGAATTGAGGCATCAGTATTGTGGATTAGTGTGTGGAGGAATGAAGGTTTTTTTTGCTGATTGTTGATTGGTTCGTCTATATTCATGGCGTGTAAATCAAGAGGATCTGTGTTGGGAATTGATAAAATAGTGGACATTGTGAGTGGTTGCAGTGTGATAAAAAGGAAGAAGGAATAATAGTCTAGTGAAGGATGGATAGAGTCTCTCTCTACATCCTTTTTTCGAAGTGGTTGGGAGATTATGGCCTCCCTCATGTTTAACATCCAACTACTTCCATTTCTATCTGTATGTTAAATTCTCACCATGATTTATAAAAAAAAAAAAAAGAGAAAAAAGAGGAGACTTGCTTGGATTTCCTTTTTGGGAGGGTTGCCGTCGGGTGGAGTGAAAGGAAGGTAGCAGGGCTATTCAGTTGCTAAGGTAGAGGCGAAGCCAGAATTTAAACTTATGGATTCGAAATTCTAATCGTTTTGAAGTTTACTGTTTAAATTAATAATTTATACATGTCCAATGAAATTTTAAAATAAATACAGGCTCGAACCAAACTACTGGGTTCTGGCCGAACCACTCCGGCCTCTCTAGCTCCGACCCTGGCTAAGGTGTGTTATTTGATAATGTTATATATATATTATATATATATATATATCAATATATGCGTAAATAATACTACTTTCCTTAAAATACTATATGTATACATATTAGGTGGACACAACTTGAAAATAACACAGCAAATATCAATTTGGGACAAGAAATGAAAGCCTTAAAATCCACCACTGAAAGCAGAAATTCGACAATAAACCGACACTGCTAGTGAATCCATATATTAAGGAATCTAAGATTACAGGCACAATAAAGAGAATTTATTAAGCCAAGGAATGGTAAACAAGGCTTTACACTCAGAAGCCACAAAAACTCATCTCAGCTTCAGCTGTCTTTCTGACCCTACTTACACTTTTTCTGATTATCCTCAATCTGTACAATCCTCTTAAGTGGTATGCCATCCAACATTTGAAGAATAGAAGAATTACAATAAGACTTGACACCAAATATGCTGCTGCTAATGCCATGCATTATCAAATACGATCTGTAGCTTCGTCGTAAACCAGCTGTATCAGCATTTAACAAGATCATCTATTGCCACCATTCGATCAAGCAACAAGACTATGATCTTCGATTTACTAGTCTCAAGGCTTAGATGAAGCATTGGATAAAATTAAAGGAAGGTTATATTCTAAGCTTTTTTGAAATGTACGCGAAGAAACTCCATGCAGAAGCCTGACAATCCCAAGAAACTGAGCTTCCATCAGAATGCCTTATCCAGTCCTTCAGAACTACATAACTGGAACTGAAGGACTTAGCCACGAGCTCCTGTTTGAAGAAACCGGATAGGAAAAATTAGCAAGCTAGAAGCTGAAATTAAAGATTTTCCGGCAATTTTGCAATACTTCAGTTGACAAAGTTTCAGAAATCAATTTGGCAAGTTTAGTCCTGCCACCACATATTCCTATATGTTTTAATTTCTTACCACCTAATAAATGATGATTTAACTTATTTAAAAAGCTCAATCTTTGTATCTATTACACATTTTCTTTTACCTTTAGAAGTAGAACTAGCTCGTAAGTCTTTGAACCTAAAAAAATGAACTCTGTACGTGTCAACTTTGTTCTGTTTTACTTGACAATGTCATAAGCAAATAACAATAATGCACGTTGGAAATTATTACTCCTTCCTTTATGATATAGGTTCTATTGATGGACTCAGATCCTTCCCACCCCTATTTATATAGCATTACTATAAGAATCACTATGAGAAAAGGGGAGGGGGAAAATGTACCGAGGCGAGTTCCTCTATCATAATAGGCCTGTTCCCCTCCTTTTCAAAGAACTCATAGCCACGACGAGCATGTTGCTCCCAGCTTTCCATTCCTTCAAGCTGATGTACACTTATCGCTGCAGCACAGAATTCTTCAAAATCCAACTTTCTGTATTGAAGAGAACTCACCTGCTCGGGGCACGAAAAAAGTCAGTGAATAAAATTCGTCATTACTTCACTATGTCCATCAGGATTGTTCGCATAATTTCATAACTTCAACAAGATAACTTCCTAAGCTTACCGTATTGACAAAGTCGAAAACCCTTGAATCCTTCATTGCATCGGTGGCGTTCTTCATCACAGCCTGCCAAGTCATTGAACTCATTTCAGTAGTGGAGAATCGTAAATAAAGAAAGAGTATACTGAAAGAAAAATTGAAAATCAGCCAACATTCTTTTTAGTTTCTTTTTATTTTTAATGATGATGGTTGAGGATAGAGCGCTTACCATTTTGAAGTTTGGTAGTGCTACAAGTCCACTTTTGCTTGGCGCTAATAATGTAAACTGATCCCGAAGATAAGCTAGTTGTTGTATAGTCAATGTCTTAGCAAGAGCCTGTCACAGTGGCCACAAACGATAAATCATACAGTTAACTAATTGAGGGGCTAACATTTTTTTAGCAAGTCAAAATACTATCATTCATATTGCTCCAAGATTGTCACTGTACAATATGGATAATCTACAGACTAGCATCTTGCATGCGGATGCTTATGACATTGCATTTCTTTGCTATTTATATATTATAATCTCTCAGTAACAGGAGAAATCTGTTTCTGTACATATTTACTGGATCACAGAAACGATGAACAGGTTATATTAGAACCTTGCTGATCACATCATGCTCCCTTAGCTATTTGGTGCGGGGGCGATGGAAAGAGATTGAAGAAATATAACAGGAACTAAACATAAAAGAATTATATGACCTTAACATGCCTAAAAAAGCATGGCACTACTTACAGAAGTGCTCATATTAGAATTTTTGGCTAAATTATATGACTGCTGAACTTAGAAGACAAGTTCCACCAGAACAGATATACATACCCTTAAAGCAGCTTTTCGAAGAGAAGACGAATATACATAAGCTTTTACAAGCTTATATACTATCATATCCAAAGGAATCTTCACATCATGATAACCAGCCAACCAAGGATGACCTAGACAAGTAATGAGAGAGGTTAAGAAATCAATAATACAGCTAAAATCTGATAAATTACTAAGATAATAAACATGAAACCACATAGGTAAATTGGTTATATCAAGAAGTCAGAATAGCTTCATCTATGGCGGCGATGAGTTCTTCTCGAGACAAGATTTGACAAGGACATTAAGGAACTTGAAACTGGTAGAGGTATATCCTTAATCCACTATTATAAGGTCTACTACAGGATGCTGAGAGGATATACCCAAAATTGACATTTTACAAGGAGACTTACTGAGAGCCTGAGCTGCAGTTAGCCTTTTGCGGTAATCCTTATTCAGCAATCTTTTTACAAAGTCTACTGCATCAGAAGACAAAGAGGGCCAAGGGGTTTCTTCAAAGTTTGGATCAGTTTTCAGGATGGCCCTAAATATACCGGACTCTGTTCGCGCCCAGAAAGGCCTGCTTCCACATAGAAGAATATAGGCAATTACACCAATGCTCCACATGTCCGCTTCTGTTCCATAAGATCTATGCAAAACC